TGTCCCATCTCACACAAAATAGATGAGGCAGAGGCAGCCAGCCAGCAGTGCAGTGACACCAGCTCCCCCGACGGCCGCCTGAACTACGTCTGCCCTCGTCCTTGGTTCCCCTGCAGACAAGAGAGACATGGGTGAACTCCAAGCTTGATGAGCAGGCATGTATCCCCTCTCCTCAAGCAGGAAGAGATGGGTTCCCCTCTCCTCCCATCCAGGGCTGAGCAACTAGGTCCTCCAGAACCATGGGGTGAAGGACATGGTCTACGTGACATCTATCCAGTCCCTACACTCCTGTGCAGCAAACCTCATCTTTTCTAGGACCTGGGATCTTCTCCATCTAGGGTTTCTCTGCCACAGACCCCAGACCTGGCTGCAGCAGGATCTTGAGCCTCAGTGTCCCATGGGCACTCCAGAGAGAGACACACACAGAGAGCGCTGTGGGATGCCGAAAGACCTCTCTTCTTCTTTCCTGAGAAGGTGTCATAGTCTTCTCTCTGACCTCCACTGGCCCTATTGCTCAGTGCCAAAGGTGGTCTCTTGTGCCTCCAGAAGAAGGTGAAATCCAGGAGGTTCTCAGACCTTCAGGCAAGACCCAGATAGCTTTCGTGGTCTCATTTGGCCATGCCTCCCAGGAGCCCTGGGGTCAGGGATGTGTCTCTGAGCATCACCTGTTACAGTCTGATGGAACTGCTCAGAGAGTCCTAACAGGGTCACTGACCAGTCGGGGTGGGGACCAGATGCCATCATCAATGGGAATAGGGCAGGAGGAGGATAGGGCTCCAGAGACAGGTCAAGGTGAGGGCCAAGGGGTGGGCAGGCAAAAAATAGAGATTATCAGAGAAATAAAACTGCTCTGCATGACACTATAATAGTATACACATGTCATGATACAATGTCCAAGCCCATCGAGTGTACAACACCAAGAGTAAACCATAAATATGAGTTTTGGTTGACAATGATGTGTCAGTGTCAGTTCATTGATTGTACAAATGTCCCCTCTGGTGGGGGATGTGTGTGTGAGGGAGGGTGTGACGGGTTTTGGGGAAATCTCTCTACTTTCTGTCTCCTGCTCAATATTGCTATTAATTTATAACTGCTCTTAAAACTAAAGTCTACTCTAAAATACCCCAAGGCATTTGTAACTGGAAGAAGATAAAGAGCATCTGTTAGGATGGGCAGGGAGACCGTTGTGGTCACTCGGGCCAGACAGTGGTTGGAGGGTATTGGGGAAGAGGTTATATAGGGGTGCTCACGTTTAACTGCACC